AATCAAAGTGGAAGAGGGAGATATGGAGTCTTGAATGCATGAAGCAAAATAAGGAAATAGAGGTGAGAAAAAGAATGGGGAAGCCGGCCAAGAGAGAAAAAGTGAGATGGTTTGGTGATTTTCTCTTTCCTCACACACAAATACACTTAGCTAGCTTTCCTCTCCAGTCTCCACCACTCATTCTAGTCAACCATGGGCCCTATCAAATGTCCACTTATTAAAAGTGCACCACAAAGTTATAAATATCAACATATGTGTATGTATATGTCACAGAAAATAAATTTGCAATGCCAGCATGTTTCAAATAAATAAATGAATAATGTCGGGAATAAATCCTAAACACTAGACCCGAACTGGGCTTACGCGACCTAAACATGAAAATGCACAAAAGAAAATAAGGAAAAAGGGAAAAGAATTTCTGGCCCTAACATACCCACAATTACCTCATTTCTAAATACATGTGTGTAACAAACTGAGTTGTCAGTTTCATTAATAGTCAGAGATGGTCAACGTTGATGTAACAAGTTTTTAAGCTTCATATGATAAGTATGCCTTTCAAATTAATGTGAAGAGACTTTTGTCTAACGTTAGGTCCAATAGGGGTGATTGTAACAAACTGACCTTTGCCATCATGAAGTAGTAATAGGATGTGTGACCTTTTAGAAAGTCGGTTCGGGAGAGCTAAGAGCAGATAATAATTACTTCCCCTCTAATTACTTCCCCTCTAATTATAATTACTTCCCCTCTAATTACTTGTGTGTAACAAACCAACCCCTATTGTCAACTTCACTACAAACCTGAGATGGTTAATGCTAATATGACAAGTTTTCAAATTGCATATAACAAATATGCTCTTTAAATTTAAATTACTGAAGAGACATGTTTGTTCAATGGCTTGTTATGCGAAAAGATAAATATACCTTTAATTAGTAAAAATTAGATTAACAAAAAACCAGTGAGTTTACTTAAGAAAATGAACTATTATTCACACTAAAATATTATCGATAATTTTTAAAAGGTAACTTTACATCAATTAAGTGTTTTATTTATTTATTTATTTTTTTTGGATTTCCAAGCTAGTACAGAAAATTATTACAAGGAGAAGAAAAGGAAAATTGAAAGATTTCTAACGCAGTTCCGGCAAAGCCAATTGCTAATCATAGCTTGGACTGTGTTATTCAGGACCAAGATGGTGATGTTTTTCTGAATTTCAGAAAATCAATAGATCTACCTAGATCTACATCTTCTAAAGGAAGTCATCTTCCTTATCATGTTTCTTGTCCTCCTTCTCGCCATTCGATTTCGTCGGATTACAGAAAGGACAATCTCCCTGAAGTCGTTGGTTCAAATCAACTCAAGCTGAAAGGAATACAGCAATCTCAGAATCAAATTCCAAGAGGAGTCTACGAGAAAGCACCAATACTGTCTGAATATACCTTTGATTAGGTATCCATGGAGTCTCTTGTTCAAGAACCTCTTTCATGGTTGGTTTCTGTTGTTTCTGTTGTGTACTGTTGCTTCCTTTAGAAGGTGTGTTGAGCAGATCAGCAACATGATCCAAATATGGAAATTGATCATCATTTAGTGGTATAACCACTTTGGCCTTAGCCTTGTTTTTGCCACGAGCCTTTGGAGTATTACCCCGGCCCTGCCCATGGGGGGGCTGATTCATGAACCCTACAAAAATTCACGAGTTAGAAAATCAGGTAAAGAATTAGAACTGCCTTTAATATATTCAATAGAACAATCAAAAGCAGATAAATCAGCTTGCCAACCAGCAAATATCTGTTTGGAAACCAAATTCTTTACATCTTTTTTCAGTACTTGTTTAGCAGCACTACAATCAATGCGTAACAAGAATTTCTGATTGATTAAATCATCTTGGAATTTATAAATGCATTTAACCAAAGAAAGAATTTCCTTTTTGATGGTTGAATAATTTAATTGTGCATTTTTCCAAGTTCCTGAAGTGAAGCGAACAAGCTCTTCTGTTCATGTATTTGGATTCTTCTATTTAAGAATACCACCATATCCAATATTGGATGCATCTGTTTCCACAATTTTGAACCATGAAGAATTGGCTAGAGCTAAGCAAGGAATTTGTTTGGCTCTGAGTTTAATCTTCTGGACGGCCTTGGTGTGTTCCAAAGTCTATGGGGAAGGAGATTTCCTTAACCTGTTGTACAAAATTGTTGTATCCTGTGCAAGATCTCTGTAGTGATTTCGAATATAATTCAAACTACCCAGAAACCTTTGAAGCTGAGTTTTATCCTTAATTTCATCTGGAAATTTAGAAGCAAACTCAATACTGCGATTAATAGGTCGAATTTTCCCATCACAAATTTCATGACCAAGAAATCTGACCTTAGTTAAAAACAGTTTTAGTTTAGGAACAGAAACTACTAAACCACTGCGGTAAATAACATCTTTGAAAATTTTCAAGTGTTTATAATGCTGATCGATTGTTTTTGAAAATATGAGAATATCATCAATATAAACAATAGAAAATTCAGTAAAAGGATTAAATATGTCATTTAAAATATGTTGAAAATTTGAAGGGGCATTTTTTAATCCAAATGGCATTACTGTCCATTTGTACTGTCCAAAAGGTACGCAAAAAGCTGTTTTGTACCTGTCCTCTTCTGCAATCTGTACCTAGTAATATCCAGATTTAAGATCAAATTTAAAAAAGATTACAGCAGATTGTAACCTATCTAAAAGATCTTTGATGTTGGGAATTGGGTATCGGATCCAACTCAAAGCTAGATTAAGTAGTCGATAATCAATAACCAATCGAGGAATTCCTCGTTCTTTTTCAGCATTTTATTGACATAAAAAGCTCTGCAACTCCAGGGGGAGTAGCTATTAGTGACAAGCTTCTTTGCCATTAGAGAGCTGATTTCAGTTTTGCATAATTCCAAGTAGTCAGCTTTCATGTGGCTGGGACTAGCTTTAGAAGGAATCATGAGATTTGTAAATCCCTTTTCATAGGGTAAAGAAACAATATGCTTCTTTCTTGCCCAAAAAGCATTAGGAATCTCACTACAGATTTCCTTTAGAAAGTTTTGTCGTATTGACTCAATTTTCTGTTGCTCAGTGGGTTGTACCAATCTTTGATTAATTGCTAAGGAGGATACCTCCTTTTGTAAATAATTCAGTTGCTTTTCCTTAAAGATAATATTATTTTTAAGAGCATTGATATGCTTGTTTACTGGTGGGTATGCTTGTTTACTGGTGGGGTCAAAAACTGAAAAGTGATTGACTAACCATGTAAATTAGAGCATATTCCATGAGAATCAATTTTCTCAATTGGCATAATCGAAGCTAAAAAGGGGGTGCCCAAAATAACTTGTTGTGCCATATTTCTGATGAGTAAGAAAGTAGATGGTAAACAAATACCTTCTTTACAAATGAAAACATGATTAAGTTTATACTTAATCTGCATCTTACCACCACTTGCACTGATAAGACCTTGAGTGGTTTTCTCAAAATATTGAGTAGGAACCAATCCTTCCTGGATACAGTTCATATCTGCACCATTATCAACTAAGGCAATAGCATTAGTGATAGTGTACTCTTGATTAATTACCAAATTGATAGAGATATACCATTTTTGGTAAGTAACTTGATTCAAGAGTTGAAGATAATTCGTGCTTTCGGTTTGAGGGACTTCAATCTGGGATGATGAAGTTTCAGTTACAGATGTTGCTTTTAAAAGAGTAATTTCCATTTCCATCTAATGTTGACGAGACTTTAACTGGCGAATTTCTTCTTTTAAAAGATTAATCTCCATCTTGAGATCAGGGAGATTAGTAGGACGAGAATTTTGTCCTTGGTGTTCTAATCTGCTTAGAACTTCTTTCATGCTGTAATGATTTTCTGCTCTCAGAAAATCTGGATTATCCGTATCCTCATTAGATCGTGCCAGAGCAGAACCTATTTCAAAGACTTTCATCTTGATTTGAGGATCCTGGATATGATCTATAAGATCCAATAAGGATTGTTGAGTCGAAGTCAAAACATTTAAGCTTAACCCATTCATCTCAACAATTGCCTTATAATAATCATCATGAGAGGGGTTACAGGAACATCTAGGATTTCCAATTTCTGCTTCAGAGGAAGAAGAAGACTGTAATTCCATAACAACATCCCCATAATCAGCTGATGATTCTGATTCAGAAGAACTAGTATTAAGTAACAATTTACTTAATTGAAGTCTCAGTTCATCTTCTATGTGAAGACTACTGAGTTTCTCCTTAGTTCTGCACTTGTTTGCATAGTGGCCTATACGTCCACATTTGAAACATTTAGCCTCAGCTTTGGGCTTTCCTTTACCCTTTGCTTTAGGAATATATTTCCTTTTAGGCTTAATATACTGTCTAGAATTATCCTTTTCCTTTGAATAATTCTTTCTTTTGGAATACTTCCTTTTATAAGGTTTTTCAACCTTATTTCTTTTCCTAGGTTTAGGATAAGATAAGGGAGTCTGGTAGGCAAATTGATCACAAAATTCACCTACTTCCTTCCTACCAGTTAATCTTTGTGCTTTTAACTGGGAGCTAAACCTGAGCTAGACCTTCCTGGATTACAATGTTGACTAATTTACCATAGGTATAGTTTCTGTAAGAAGAAGGTTGGTAAACCATCTACAAATTTGGCTTTCCAGTGCTCATGATTTGCATCATTAAGTTGGAGAACCTTTGCCAAAAATACATCTTTGTACCACCAGAAATGAGTTAAAGATGGACATCTTAGATTCTGTAGAAGTTCACAACTCCGTTCACTAAGGTTGGGTGAAGAAAAAATTAATACACGTGTTTTATTTACTACTACATCCGTAAAAAAATATAGTTTATATTTCAAAAATTATGTCAGTTCAATTTACAAGAGTCACGATTTTCTAAATTTGACACTTTCTGTAGGTAGTATTTTATTTATTTACTTTTAATTTTCTTACATATACAGGAATATATGTTTTTATCCCGGCAAACAAGCAACGGCACTTGAATCTGAGCCAGTGTAACTGAGAACCGTACATAAGTAAAATCCGAATAAAAAACCCAAATAGATCTGCGTTTCCCCGCAAATTTGACGTCGAGTCGAAGAAGAAGAGACTTGGAGAGAGTGGAGAGAGAGAGGAGAGAGGCGAACATGAAGACCACAAAGGGAGGCAAAGTCATGAACCCTACGGACGCCTATCGCAAGGAGATTCGCAAGAAGGAATTAAAAAGGGTAATATATATATATATATATATATATATATATATATATATATATCATCACTTTGTTATCTACTTATATATAGTATGCCTATTGTATGCAACTTTTTGGAAATTTATTGTATGTAGATTTGTTGACGGAGTGCCCAGATTGGTGCCCTTGTTTATGTTACCTGGAAAATTCACTAAATGCCTGCAGTTATAGCTCAGATTCTGATTGTTTTCTTAGAAAATGAAGGAGAAAGAAAAAAAAATCTAAAATTTCTTAATTAAGCCGAACATTAGTATTTAATCTAGTAAAAGTTGAGTTTGTTTCATACTGTGGAAACATAAAAAAATGTCAAATATATATATATATATATATATATATATATATATATATATAAATATATTTCCTCTCTCTCTTTTTATAGTTGGCATTGTTATCGAGGAAGCAGAAATTTGTAAAAGAAGTTTAATTGAATTTCTAATTTAGTAATTTAATTTTCAGGTTCTCTAAGGAAATTCATATTGGCTGTTTCAGCTATGCTACTTACTATATGTATATGTATACTGTGCATATATCTGTATAAGGGGAACACTGGGAGTCTGGGACGTGAATGCAGTTTCCCAATACCATTTATGACATTTGTTTGTTGGTGGGTTAGATTTTGTGTTCACCTGAAAGCATTATTGAACTTATAGCAAAACTTGTGGTTCTGCATACCGGGCACTCTCCATGTGGTGTTAGGGAGCCAGGTTTCGACTCACTTCGGCCCCACCCCCTCCAGGCTCTCCTTGCTAGGTTAAAAAATTATTAATAATAAAAATTATCAACATTCATGTCCCCACGAGGGTTCATAGTCATCTTTCTAGAGATGTCCATTTATTATTATTTATTTATTTTACTTATCAAAAAAAAGGTTTTCCCTTTCTTTTTGCGGGGTCGGGAATGAGGGGGGCGAGGGGTTGGATAGGAGGGCAGGCCTCTGTGGTGTTGTAATGGCTCTATGGTGTTGTGATGCTCCTTCTATTGTTTTGCACTTGCTCTTTTGATTGTTTGATATATATTTTTTATTTTGGTAAATCTGGGTGTCAGTCACTTGTGCTGTTTGGTGATCACTTCTATCTAATAATGCACTTTTTGTAAATTGTGTTCATGCATTTATATTAGTTCTCTTTTGGTATCATTTTTTTTGGGGTCATTTATGGATTCAATGCATCGTCTTAATTTGTTTATCACTTCTTGGGTTGTGTTTTTTACTGTTTAACAGAATAAGAAAGAAAGAAAGAAAGTGAGGGAAGTGGGGATCTTAAAGAAGGATCCTGATACACTGAAAGAGCAAATTGAGAAGTTGGAAATGATGAGTAAGCCTTCATCTGTTTATCTATATATTTTTATATGTTTAATTGTGATTCATGACCATGACTTTTTTTGATAAGCAAAATTCATGACCTGGACATTGTTTGTTATAATGATATATATTTATAACTGAAGTGCTTTTTTCTAAGCATGAAATAATGGAACAAGCAAAATTTTAATCTCTGATTAGGTTTGACTGACTTTGAAACTTCATTTGTATTTTATGCATCTTAATCATGGCCAACGTGCACAATGTTTTTGTAAAGTAAAATCATTCACAATCTCACTGATAGCATGTTTGATATACATAGTGGGTACTGAAAATTGAAGAAAAGAAATTCCTAATAATCTCAGGTTGGCATTGTGATTCAGCTTCCAGTGACATTGTATTTCTACTTGTTTTATAATTGGACATACTATTAATATTATACTGAAGATGGCCTAGTTTTAATATTTTGTATTTATATCCCATTAAATATTCTTTCCATGATTTCAAACGCAATTGAAATTATCTTCTCTAACCAAGGAATATATTTTGTGGTTCCTTTGATGAATTTAAGATCTTAATAGGTCCAGTCTTCTGTTTCGTTGCATTTTCCAATAAAGCTTGGTAAAGCAATGTTTTCCTATACCACTTAGAATACTTGAATGTTTCATTTTGTGCAAAGATTTTAGAGTTTAATTGTTAAGAGTCCTTTTCAAATGAATTCCTTAGGCTCTATGGGGCAATATATGACTTAATCTGCAAGAACAGTTGAGGTTTGGTCCTTAAACTACAATGATATGGAACCTGGTACCATATTGAGAAGCTAGATTTCAATAGCAAACTTATTTTAAAACTGGTATCAACTTGAAGAGCTACATTTCCAATACTAGGTGTCCTTGCTGTGGAATTTGGAAAGATGTAATTTTAAGAAACAAGTACATTGATTTGGAAATTGGAAAATGGTTGTTAAACCATATGGCGTAATTTATATATATTGTGAGCCCCACAAAATTGGACCCTCAACGCTTGAAGACTGTTAAAGTACTTCACAGGGCCTGCAGTTGATTTGGTTTTTTCAAGTAAGAGTAAAACTTATAGCATAGGTATGACTTTGACTTGCTTTGTCGTGTCATTCACATACTCCCAGGCTTGAGTTTCTTTGTAGAAAGACCACTTAGCATGGATTATATTTCTTTTTCTATTTCTTTTCATTTTGGTCTTAATTGCTTAGCATACTAGGTTGTATAATCAATTCATTTTAGTGATCTAAGTGCTTTAGTGGATCAATTACATTGACACCCTATGTGGTTTGCCCTAATTATACATGATTGTTATGTTTGCGACAACCTACACATTCGCTCCCTAAGGTTTGGTGTATGATAACTAACATGCCCTCCCATTAATTAGTTGATGTGTCGTTAACTTGTACCTTGCTATAGGACCTATTTATTCCTTGGCTAACTTACTAAAAGGACTCCCTTAACCCTAAAGCATGACGTGAAATGACCAAAGTGTTCCACCAGTAATTCTATGGGTAAATTACTCTGACCTCCCCTACGGTTCACCTTAATTACCCATAGATTAAACTTTTTGAAAAATAACTGTGACACCCCTGTTTGAGTTGGCAACTGTGGAAGAGTTTACATTCACTGGGAATTTACCAAATTACCCTAAATTTTAATAGTACAACAATATAAGATGTCATGCTGATGTATTCTAGCCAATAATAAAATGACAAGTTTACACCCCAAGCCTTTCTCCTCTCTCTCTCACCTCTTCCTCATATCCACTGCCACTGCCACTGCCACTGCCACTGCCACTGCCACCACCACCACCATGATAGCTACAACCACAAGCACTACGACCACGACCACGACAACCACAGTCACCACCACCACTACCTCTCTCCTCTTTCTTTATTTCTCTTTCTATCTTTTGTCTGTCGCAAATACTTGCCACTTCTATCTAGAACTACCTTCATCGCTTTTCCTCCACCACTACAACCCTCACCATATCTTTTTCGATTGCGAGAATTGCTTCATCTATTGACAAATTTGATGATTTCGAAGGCAGAGAAACAGACCCAGATTTGATTTTGCCTCCAAACCCATTATTCTCAACCGAATATATTCAATGGCTCATGAGTGTGATTCCAATTAAGTAGGAGTTATAATTTTGGACAAAATTTAAAAACAGACCTAGATCTGATTTTTGGTTTCAAACCCTCGCTGGAAAGCTGCACAGCTCACACCCCTTCATCGCTTCCATCTCTCTCTCTCTCTCTCTATATATATATATAACACAAGCACACACATATATGTGAGGTTAGACTTATTCATTGCAAATCATCCATGGTTATATAGTTGCCTTATTAATTTATTGCCTCATTTATTGGTGGCCTAATTGACCATGAACAAAGATTGATCCTGAGCTCTGTGTATGGTATGAGTAAAAGCATCTATAGACTGTGATGGGTTTTGTTGAGAAGGATAAATTATTGGGCTTGATTAAATTGGCACTCAAAGAATATTAAGAAACTGTGTGTTTGTGTCTATATATATGAGAGGTGGAGAGAGAGAGAGAGTGGGGAGGGCGGCAGCGGCGGTGTGGAGAGAGGGGTTGTGGTGGTGGAGAGATATATAGAGAGAGGGGAGTCTAACCCGTCTATATTTTTTTATTTATGTAATACATATAAGTATATAACACATAAAATTAGTTATAAATGTGTATAGTTGTATAAATTTTGTCATTAATTTTAATTATATTGTAATTATATCTATAACTTATTGTTAACAAATGAGCCAAAAAATCAAAATATTAAGGTTCAAATGGTAATTGAAAACTGAGTAAGGTTTATTTTGTCATTTTAAAATAGGAAGGGTAGTTTTGGTATTGCAATTTATTTATCTAACTGACTTTTAAAATGGCTAACGGTCAATTAAGGCAGGGGTAGTCCTAGTGAAGTCAACTGCGGTTGACTGAATTATTTCAACAAGTTTAAGCTGTGGGTAATTTAGGCAAACCTCAGCGGGAGGTTAGAGTAATTTACCCTACTTTTATTAGTCCCCCCCCCCCCCCCCCCCCCTTCTCCCTCTCTCTCCTTCTATTTTTCATCTCTACCCTTCTTCCATTTACCACTCTTTCTCTCAAAAAATTTCTACTCTTTGCAATACGCACACCACCATCTCCGTAGCCACCGCCATCCTGACACACTCTCTTCTCCACCGCCACCACCATGCCCCCACTCTCTCTCTTCTCTACAACACCAAGCCGCCAACTCCTCTCTCTACCACAACCGCTGCCATAAAACAAATTCAATTAGGCCTTAATCTGACACTTCGAATCACCTCAATAGTTTAGTGTATGCACAGTATATTGTACTATGAATTTTACTTACTCATTTCAGTTTTTTCCTTTTTTATGTAACGCGATTCTTGGATCTCTATGTAATGTTGTAAAACAAGAAGCACTACATTATCAAATAAAATTAAGGAAAACAAAAAAAATTATAACAATCCAAATTGGAAATATTTGATTATGAACAGCCTTTGGCCTTCAAATTTTCTGTATACGCCTTGACTTGGTACTTACTAGGTACACATTGACTATTTTTCACTTTTGCAATCTTTAAGTCACATATGCAGCTGGTTGAGTAGCTTTTCAATTTTCAATTGGTGCAGAGGCAGAAGGTGCTCTGGACAAAGCGAGAAAACACAAGAAGAGACAGCTTGAGGACACATTGAACCTTGTTATTAAAAAGAGGAAGGTAATAGCATATATATGACAAACTATGCATTGTTTGCAATATCATCCTCTTTTCAGGGAGAAAACAAGAATTTAGTTAATAACATAGTGATTCAGGGCGTGTGAACTACAAAAATGGCAAATTAGGTATTCTACAGGATTCAAGGTTAGTTTGCTGATTTTATATTATTTGAATGTGTGCGTAATAGTGGTCCATGGGTTTTAATTTGGGTCAAGTTACTGGTCTTTATATGTGGACTTGAGTAGGTTTAAAATAGTCTTAGTTGTTAAAAATTCCATGGGTTCTTATCTTGAAGACCTAATCCTATTATGAGGAGGAAAAATCCAGCAGTCTAAACATTTGTTTTCTTTCCTTCCAAAAGAGCTTCATTAGATAGTTAATTATTGTGTTTGCTTGATGAGTTGAAGCCGTAATACTTTCTTTTATTCTTTTTATTCTGGATCAAATTAGTTACTGGGGTCTTTTTATGTAATCTTTTGTAAGTTCTGGATAGACTTAATTGTCAACATTCTTAGTTTTCTTATTTTGAAATCTAATTCCTAGTCTTATTAGTAGGAAAAGTCCAAACAGTCTTGAGATTTAGAGAGTTAAATAGTGTTTGCTTGATGCAACTTAACACTTGATGGGATGATCTTGGAGACTTCTTTCCTTAACTTTTCTCCACTCTTATTAATAACCACCTGTTTTCAATTCTATCGTTCCTATTTCGACAAAGCTCCTTTCTGTTCATCGAAGTTTCAACATAACAATCCAAATGTGGTGGTGGATTGATCAATTTAGTCGGTTTGTTTATTGTTTTTGCACTATATGGTGTCTAGACATAGTTTTGAGGGCTCCGGTGGGGGTTGAAAAGTTCTATATCTTTTCCTTTTTGAATTAACTTAAGTAATAGGATCATTGGTGCAATCTCCTGTAAACAGACATGCATATAAATTAAACAGTGAAAGATAAGGAAGACATTTAATTTTTACGTGGAAAACCTCAACCGAAAAAAAAATTTGACATAGTATTGAGTAACTCATTCAGCTATGTCGAAAAAGAAGTTGCAAGTCAAACTTTATAACATTGTCGTGCCTAGTACAACTTGTCAAGAAAATGTCTCAGCTTAGTGTCTAGTTTTCACTTGCCTCCTACGAGCTCTGTTGTTGCCGGAGCTTGAATCTCACAAGCCCAGTTACTGTTTTGTTAATGCAATCATATCTCCCATGATACCCCTTCTTTCGTAGCAGTTGCGTGCTTAATTTTCCTTTGATCTCAAAAAATAGAGTATGAGGATGAAAAAAATACTTGATCAAATGATAATGATAATTATCTGAAGTTCTATGTTCTCAATCTGAATCTTGGTGCAATCTGGATGATTCCATGCATGATTTTAAATGACTCTAGGAAGAGAAGACTGTGATACACTAGAGCATTCCTCAATCTGCTGTAAAAAAAAAAATTGAAAAAACTATCAACCTGGAACATCGAAGTAGACTTCTTGGCGTTAGTCCATGTGAACCTTGCCCCTCCAAGCTGAATATCCATAAACTCAAATGCATAACTAAAATCCAAACTCCCCTCATTGCTGCAGAAAAGCCTTCGTGCTCAATCTTCCCCTGGGAACATAATCGAACTGAAGTCCCCTTTGTTATTCCATGGTTAAGAAAGAGTCATTTCCTAGTGTGGCTGGTAGGGTAGATTCGATACAGACTCACCTTTGACATTTTTGCACAAAGTGGCTGATTTCAATATTTGAACCTGTATTTGCCCCCATCTATTCTTTATTGACACCAGATCACCCCAGAGCTTAGTTCTACCGGAGTCTTGCACTGGGCCTATTACCTCCAGAGAAGAACCACTATCCCCCATTAGAGAACAATTGGGATACTGAGTAAGCACCAATTAATTTTGTTTATCTTGCTTAGCACTCTTTGATCCCAGATAAGGAGGTTTCACAGAAATTGATATCTAGGTGAATTGCTTTTTGGGCTTCGTGGACCTCGTGGTATCCATCCTCTCTTGATTGTTTTATTCCAAATTCACCCTAATTACTTAGTTTTACATTAATTGGAAAAGGTAATAATGATAAATAAGGTGAAGAATTCAGAATTATAATTTTATTGAATGTGCTGAAAGAATTGATTGATTGTTGTTGTTATTATTATATCATCACCGTCATCATTTTTTATTTTATTTTTATAACAGTCCATTTTCTTTAATGGACAAGTAACAGCTAAACAATTCTGTTTCTCTTTTTGTTGCTGGTCATTGGTAGAAAACTAGTTTTCTATACATTATATCTAACTTGTATGGCTTATTGATTTGTCTCATTAATTGTATGTCTTCCTGACTCTCCTGGGCAGGAATATGAAGATAAATTGCGTGAAAAGGGTGAGGCTCCAGTTATGTTCAGGTGAAAAATACTTATGCTTCTTCAATTAATTTTTCTTTAAGTGATTTGTTTGGGCAAGAGTTAAAATTATAAATTATCCAACCCGCTCCGTGTCAAAACCATATGGGGGGTTTTATCCGGCCATTAAAGTATGTATTGAAAAGTGGCTGCAAGAAAAGACTTTGATGATTAGACTTTTTATATTTATAATATTTTGTGTTTGGTAAGTTATGTTTAATTTATAATTAAATTACCGGGACCTATTCTATGGTTTGTTATAACTATAGGGACTTTTTCTTGTGAGCAGTCATTTAGGACCTCCTCGAAGACTGACAACAGCGGAAGAAGAAGAAAGAGTCAAGCACCCTAAACCTGAAGTAATTTCTTATTTCACTGTTATGATATTATAGTCTTTTGTTTATATATGACCCACATTTAGTTATTATTTGATGTAGGACTCAGTATACTATCACCCTACACTGAATCCTACAGGATCCCCACCGCCTGGAAAGCCTCCCATGTTTAAATCATCAATAGGTTTGTATAGTTTTTCCAATACTTTACTTAAATGTGTTTACTTCTGTACTTCCTCTCTTCCTCTGATTCTGTTCTCTCTGACTTTCAGGACCTAGAATTCCATTATCAGCAGCTTCATCTAGTGCTGCTGCATTGTCATCAAAGTCAGAGTTGGAGGATGGTTCTTCAGCTGGACCCCCTCCTCCTCCTCCACCTCCTCCTCCTTTGCCTCCTGCTGATGATCTGGATGCTGGAGATGGTTCTATTATGCCTGAATCTTTGCCATTGCCACCACCACCACCTCCAATGCCACCAAAACCTGCTGTGGCAGACTTGGGCACATCAATGCCTCCACCTTTGCCACCGCCACCTCCTGGCCCCCCTCCTAAAGAGCAAATTGCCATACGCCCTCCCTTTCCTCCTTCAATCATCCAAAATGCTCAGCCACCTCCACCTGGCACTTTGGGCAGTGAAAAGGAGAAAAATCAATCTGCAAAGTCAGATAATTCATCCTCCAAGGAGCCAGTTCTGGTAAGCTCTTCCTCAATTACTTTCATGAATTAGAATCACAATTTGAAATCTCTGCTTCAAAAGATGCCCAGGCAAGATTCTAGATCCAAAAAAAAAAAAAGAAGGAAAAAAAGGTGCTCATTTGAATGATGGATATATACTTTTAGATGAAAGACATAAGCATGTCATTACATGACCAATAGTATATATAGTTTGTTTATCCAATAAACATGAACTAGTGATTTTCTTTTTTCTTTCCGGCTAATGCCTTAAAAACAGTTATAATCTCTCTCTCTCTCTCTCTCTCTCTCTCTCTCTCTCTCTCTCTCTCGCGTGCAGGCATCTATTATGCTTCCCCCACCTCCTCCACCACCTGGATTGCCATCAAAATTGGCAAATCAGCAGTCCGAAGGTGTACCATCTGAATCTGATGCCAAAAATCCTTCAGGGGTGATGGATCTTCCTAAGATGGTTCCTCCTCCACCTCCTCCAAGGCAACAGCCTCCAGTGCCTGGGTCTTCTTTGGTCCCAACTTTGCAGCCTGACGTGCTACACCCTGGAATATCACGTCTTCCCCCACCCCCACCTCCGCCAGATATGCGGCCACAATTACATGCTCTTGGACTTCCTGGCCAAGTTGCTCCACCTGGAATGATGGTCCCACTAATTCCAAGGCCACCTTTTGGGCCTCCCCCCATGATGAGACCTCCACTTCCACCTGGACCTCCTCCAATTTCCCAAGATGATCATGCTGCAAGGTTTCCTGCCCCTCAAAAGCCATCATATGTTAAATCAGCTGCATCTACTGTTGTTAAGAGGCCGCTAGCTCAGCATACTCCAGAGCTTACAGCCATGGTGAGTACCTCTGCTGGTTATTCATTGAATTGATTTTATGATTTATTATAATCTGGTGCTTTTATGATGAAATTGTTAACATTTTAGCAATACATTATATACTGTAATTCTGCTTTTTTAGAAAACAATTTTGGTTTTCTGAGAACCCCGAAATTTTGGCTATTGGATTGAAATGCTGTACCATTTGTTGAAACATTGCCTCTGGGGAATGGCTTTTTGATAGCAAAAGATTAACCAGGCAAATTCAACTTTTTAGGAGAGATGATAGCTTTTAGGTCAAAGTCCTTTTAGGATATTTTTATGTTCTGTGGAGGTGGCAAAAAGTTTCCAGAAATTCAGGAACATTAGCAAATATGTAACTTTGTATATGGTATCCTTGTTAGGAGGCAGACCTATAGTGGCAGATTTTTATTTGATTTACATATCATTGAAGATCGTGAATTTAACATAAATATTCGGGGACACAACTCATGTACATGTGAGGTATAGACAACAATTCAAGAGCTCCACGAAGAATTCATATCTTGTATAAACTTAATAAAAGGAGCTGTCTCTCCTCCTGTGGTATCCGCTTCTCCCACCAGCAAATAGTACCTCTACCGAACCTGACACCACCAACTGAACCCCAAAAATAGAGAACACAAGGTGCGTAAATACCAAGCAATCTCTTACGCTAAAAAATGAAGAAAAAAAGAACTGTACGTTTGTTGGTCAAGACTTTGCTACCAAGTGAAAGTTAACAAAAAGAAATGCACCCGGTTGGATTGATATATATGGGTTAAGTGCAAAACCCCCCCCCCCCCCCCCCCCCCCTGTAATATAGGTTATGTGCAGAATGCATCCCTCCTTTTTGAAAAGGTGCATTCTAGTCCATAAAATTCAAAAAACGTGTTCCTGCCCCTAACAACTTCAAAAAAAAGTTCCCATATATTTTCTTGAATATTTGACTCAACTCAGATCTCAGGTAAGATTTTTTTAGGATTTACACTAAAACATTTTATTTGTATTATCTTTAATTTCCTTTTCTTTGAATTTTTTCTTTTTTTAGTATTAAGAAGGTTCTATTGATTGCTATGTGATTTTTCCTAGCAATAGAAATGGGTTTAATTCAACCCTATGTTTGATTGCTGAGAAAACGAAGGAAAAACGAAGAAAATTTGATACATTCTCACTCTGCTGATTATAAATGTTACTCAGCTCAACATAGCTGATTAATTTTGCTTGAGCATACACAGCCTTGGAAAATATACCTAGTACAACTTTTTGTGCTCTTTTCCACTCCGTTGTCTCAGTTATCAAAAGAAGAATGGACGAACTTGTAGGTATATATATATATATATATATATATATATATATATGGACGAACTTGTAGGTATATATATATATATATATATATATATATATATATATATATATGTATGTATATATATATATGTATGTATGTATGTATGTATGTATGTATAGTTGTATACTATTCGGGAAAAATACATATGTATATTAGTTTAAAGGGTATTAGTCTACTTGCGGTGATTTTTTCCCCAGGCCATCAGTTATGAATTTTTGTTTTTATTTTCAGTTTTTGACTTTGAATTGCTTGTAAATCGATAATTTACAGCTTGATATTATTTCTTTTGCTTATATGATTTCTAAGGCTCGAGGATATGATGGAATGGAGAGTTTGTGAATTGTGGATGTGTTTTCGCCATCTCATTTTCTTGCTTTCTGCTCCTTGCAATGGGGCAAATTACTGCTCCCTCTGAAGGTGAACATTATTAATTTTATTTTAAGTAAATATTATATCTGGTTTTGGGGTTGTTTGGTTTAGCTTATCCCATTCTTGGACAAAATGAGGTTTATTTTATTCTTGTCCCAAACAAACACAATCCTACACAAATTGGAGACAAAATGGTCATTTTACATGGCATGTATTTATAGTTGTTAATTTATTCTACTGAAATTAGGGTATTATCGTCATTTTAAGTCTCCAGGGGGCTATTTGCACCAAATTAATAGTATAGGGGTGTTTTACACTACACATGGACTATTTTACACCACACATGGTTTTTTTATTTTTTTGTACTTATCAAAAAAAAAGAAAAAAGAAAGAGAAATTTTTTTTGCACTAAACCCTAATATATATTTTGGTGATAAGTAAGTTGTATTCAAATGCGATCAATCAGGGAACACAGCCCAAAAAAACAAACGAGGACCAAATAGGGCCCCTAACCTTCAATTTGTCCAAAAAATCAACAATCTCCCCAGGGATTTACAATTCCTCCCAGAAACCAACAAAAGAGAGAACAATGATATAGAATTTCAGAACCCCAATAGAGGTCTCCTCCCCATCGAAGGATCCCCTATTCTATTTCTTCCATAGACACAACCAAACACATAGTGGCGCCACCCTCCAACAGTCGCAGGCTTGGGGACCCACTATACAACCTCTCCAAGCCTCAACCATGCCTAACATGGACCGGGCATGACCCACTGAACTCCAAACAAGGTCAAAAGCAACCCCCAGCTGTCCCTAGCCACAGGGCAATGCAACAGGAGATGGTCAACTGACTCTTCATCCCTCTTACTCGTTCAACACCAACTCCGATTGAATTTTAATTGATCTTAACTTTAATCAAATTAAATAATTAATAGTTATACTAATAACTAATTTTCTTTATCTCATCTTGCAATTGATAATCATGTAACCTTTAATCAAGGCAGCCATAAAGAAGTAAAACTAAGTGATTACGTTGATTACCAACGACAGATAAAAAACATGGGGACCTAGCTCAAGTGTAAATAATCCACTATAAGAAAAGTTTACAACCTTGGGTTCTAGAATTTTATCCTTAAAAAAATTACCCATGTTGATGTACCTCCAATCTAGTCTTATGTCTGACCCTTATCGTCACAAGTCTACTTGCTGATCTGATCAATGAATTTGTCTCCACCGAACTGGCCATTTCTTGTAATGATTGTCCTTGGTGCTTGATTTTCCATGAAATCCCTTCATAGGTAGCAATCTATCTCCACCTTTCTCAAGCCAAATTCTTCACAATCAGTGCAAAGATATGATGGATCATGTGATATTATACAAACTTTATGATAGTCAATTACAGCTTCGGCACACCGTCAAGGTTTATCCGCATAGAGGAACTCCTTAAAGAGTTTTTTATGGCGGGAGGGCCTCACAACCCCAACTTCTCCAATTCAAGGTTTATCTGTTGAGAGGAAGTCCTTGTTTCTCGAGGGCTAGGGGGGGATCCCATGTGGAACTTCCCTTGGAGTTGTAACTTGTACCTCTTTCACTCTAGGCAAGTTTAACATTTCTAGTCAGGAATGACTATCGAGGGTGACCTTGATAGGATCATAGCAGTGTTAATCAACAGTATACGAAATAGAATTCTCGCTGCTCATCACTAACACCCATTATTATTATTGTCATTTGGTCGTCGTCATTAGTTGGTCTCAATAATCAATGAACCAGCAGGGGTAACACCATGTGGCCCAATCACATCAAGGGGTGGTGGACTACCTACCCACATTAGACTTTATGTTAAAGCAAACATTGCATCCTCTCCTCCTATTCTCAAGACCCTTTTCCATCCATAATGTCCCTCCCAACCACCTCCAGAGTTCTTGCTTTTGGTCCCATCACTTGCCTTTCACATTAGAACCAATTACTTCCTTGATGGAGTGCCCATTTCTCTGTCACTGGGCTCAAAAGGTTGCGATTTTTCTAGCTGCCACCACTTTGGTCTCAACATAGTCCCATTGTCTGAGATAGCTTGAGGAACAACCTGCTCTTTCCTGAGTTGCATCAAAGCCCTGGGACTTTCACCTTTCAGACTCAGATGTACCACCACTGCTTCCCCTATTCGGTCTTCAATCTACATGTGATCTGGTATGGAAGGAGTCCTAGCTGGTTCTTGTATTTGGCCCAGAAATAAACGAGCCTCTAATCAGCCCCCATTGTGGTTGGAAGACTTCTCCCATCTGGTCTAGTCATCATCTCTTTCACCTACCAGAATGGGCCCCTTATATCTGATACACAGAAAGCCCAAATGATTTAATTTTCTGGTCTGTAGCCCACAATTTCTCCACAGAGCCCTAAACCAGGGCCTGAAACCTTTTATTCGTTCCAATCATATTAGATTGACCCACCTGTCTGAGATCATATTCATCTTTTATGTCTGACTTTTTTTTTTTTCCTGAATCTTTTATCTCTAACTTCTTCTGAACACCATAAACCCAACAATTTCACCCATATCTCCTTGGGCCCCAGCTTAGAGCTTATATCTGCAACCCAACGACAATCAAGAAAACTGGTTCTACATCTAAGATTCACTCTTTTTCTTCAGGAACCTCAGCTTCCTCGATTAACAGAAATTTAAATATAAACAACGGTTCACTGTGATCAACAACAGTAAATCCTGCCCCTATTCCCTACTTTACTCGTTCGTAAATCTTACCTTACTCTGTCACTGGCTGTTCGGGTTCGCGTGTCATAATCCTGTCGTGTCGAACTAGGGGTATAACACTAAACATGTCAGCCCGAACACGACACGATTAATAATCGTGTCACATATCCTAAACCCGAACATGACATGTTTATTAAACGGGTAACACGACACGTGTAACCCGTTTAATAAACGAGTCGTGTTAGACACACCAAATATGACCTGTTTAAAAACAGGTTCAACATGTTTACCCGTTTAACCTGTTTATCCGCTTAACCTATTTAACCTGTTTACTTGCTTAACCTGTTTAATGTGTTTATCCACTTAACCTGTTTAAGATGGCCAAAGATTAAAATACTAGCAAACATTACTTGAAATTTTGTACTGTAGTCCAAAAGAGAGATTAAAAGCCAAAGATATAAATAAAGTCACAAGTCATAAGTTACAAACAGAAATAAAGATAAATCATAAGTTACAGGCCGAAATAAAGATAAGTCATAAGTTATTACCGACCGAAATAAAAATGTTTAATAGAAATGTCAGGGTAACATGCAATCTTCTTAAAAGCCAAAGATCCACAACTCAAAAACTTCCTTCTGCAATCTGCATGCACTCTTTTCTGAAACACCCAAAAGTACAAATTCCTACAAAAACAAGCCAGTGTAAAATAAGTTTAGATAAAATAAAAAAAAATAAAAAAAAAAACAGATTGAAATATAAAAGAATGCATGTAATGGAAAGTTGGAAACGGAGGGGATCCACAAAAGTTTGTTTTGTTTTTTTCTTCATTTTTTTCTAATTTTTTAATTTTGTAGTTAGTCGTGCCCTTTAAGTCCTCACATTCAATCACTCCAATTCAATGATTTTTCTCCATCTATGTTGTTGTTACAGCTTTAAATAGTTTCTTAGCAATTCTGGAAAATGCACATTCAATTGGTGTTCAAGGTACCGTATGTACCTCTTGGAAATTGGAAGTTATTTCTAGTCATGTTTTGGGATTGCATATGAAAAACTGGTGGCATCTTAGAGTGTAATAGGATAATATAAACTTCATACAACATAAACCACCCGTGCATCGATTTTACAGAATTACATTCAATCTATATACAGCAACATAAAAGAATTTAAAAAATGCATCCTAGCTGACTGTCAACCATGATCACTTTCTGTTTGTCATTAAGCTTTCTTCAAACAAGATAAACGGTCAGACCATACTTCGTCACAACATTAACGTTTCCTTGGAATTTACTGGAGAGTTCCCAATCCCAATTCCCAACTTGAATAATGAATACCCAAGACTCTGCACATGTTATTTTACTATATATTAATCAAAATATTTATCTTCAGAGAGTGGACATGTCAAAATCTCAACAGAGTCCATCAAAATCCGTTCGACACACACAAAATATATAGAATCCATCTAAATATTTTATTCTTAAATTTATGAAAAAAAAAAAAAAAACAAAACAGAAACAAATAAAATCAACTAAATCAAGCAGAAAATGAGCTTAAATAAAATCATAATAGAGAGATATTGACGAGCTTACAAGAGATTAGATCTCAAGATCTACAGAAAATGAGAGAGTAAAGACAAAAAAAAATTAGAGAAAACTTGTTTCAAAGTAGATCTGAAAGAGGAAAGACAAAAATTAGAGAAAAGTAGAAAACTTACTTCGATTGTTCAAGGTTTGTGTTCTTCGCTGGTTGCTCGAAATGTAGACTGTAGTGATCTTGGTCGCTCAAAGTGGTGTGGATTTGAGAGAGAGGAGTTGTCTAGGTTATTGACTTACTGGTTAAGGATTCACCGATTCAGAGAGAGAGAGGAAAGAGGAGAGAGAGACTGAAGTCACTGAAGAGAAAGAGGCATTGCGTATAATATATATACAAATATAATAGGGTTTCTTATGTAACCATGAAATGACCAAAATGTCCCCTACTAATCAGGTCAAAACAGGTAACGGGTTAGACGGGTTCACGGGTGACACATTTAATTAAACGGGTATAAATGGGTTATACGGGTTGAGCCCCAAAACCCAAACACGACACGTTTAACTAAACGGGTTATTTGTGTCAACCCGTTTATGACACAAACCCGTTTATGGTAAATCCATTACCCATTTAACTCGTGTCATGTTAACGGGTCGCGTCGAACTTTGCCACCCCGTCGTCTTCCCCCATATGGTCTAGTCATCATCTCTTTTACCTACCAGAATGGGCCCCTTATATCTGGATACACAGAAAGCCCAAATGATTTAATTTTCTGGTCTGTAGCCCACAATTTCTCTACAGAGCCCAGAAACCAGGGCCTGTGACCTTTTATTCATTCCAATCATATTAGATTGACCCACCTGTCCGAGATCATACTTATCTTTTATGTCTGACTTTTTTTTTTCCCTGAATCTTTTATCTCTAACTTCTTCTGAACACCATAAACCCAACAATTTCACCCATATCTCCTTGGGCCCCAGCTTAGAGCTTATATCTGCAACCCAACGACAATCAAGAAAACTGGTTCTACATCTAAGATTCACTCTTTTTCTTCAGGAACCTCAGCTTCCTCGATTAACAGAAATTTAAATATAAACAATGAGCCACTGTGATCAACAACAGCAAATCCTGCCCCTACTCCCTACTTGCAAGTTTACTCGTTCGTAAATCTTACCTTACTCCGTCACTGGCTGGTCCATAAGCACTACTCTACCAACCGAAGCATCTCACAACTCAATGGTCCATCAGTACTTAAAGCCTAAATTCTTGTGTAAGCCTCTCTGCCCCACTTGTTGCTCTGGTCACCCTTTCTTACCATCAGGCATCAGCTTCAGTTTATGTTCTCCTTTGGATAGTTTTCTCAATGCTACTGAACCCCCAGTATGTCGAAAAGCTGCTGCAATTTTTCTCCACCCACCCCCTTTCTAACCTCTGGTCTGTAGAAACAACTTAGAACCTCTGCTTTCCAGACTTCATGAACAAAACCCTCTTATCATTGTAACTCTTTACAACATTAATCTATTTGTACTAGTACTGAATAAATGCACAAACAACTCTTCACCAATACGTCCATCGGAGGCCTGGACTAGAATTTACATATCCATTGAAACCCTCTACAATCTCCTACAACTCTTCAAACTAACTTCCCTTCAGTATTGCTATACAAACTGAAGCACGGAGCCTAGCTCCTTTCTAACATCAAATAGCTCTAAATACGCGCGCGCGCGCGCCCCCCCCTCTCCGGGGGCGCTTTTCACCACCACAGCAGCTGAGAAAAGGACCAACCACTCTGATAGCAGTGGGTTCCAACTCTACCCGATTCAACTTTTTAATGAATTGGTCTTAATTTATTGTGTTAATGGCTAGGTGAGTCAAAGACAATGCTGTACTAAAAAAAAAAAGTGTGCTTATGTGGTTGATCAGTACATAATGCACGCATGACGCACACATATCACTTGAGCAGAATCTCGTCATCCTGAAAAGGGAGGCGCTAGGTTCAAGTTTGGGTGGGGACATTGGTGCTTGCTTATAACTTTTAAAGAAAATTTAACACACATAAATCTAAATTCATTAAAGATGTATACTAAATGATGCAAAGGTTGGATTTGGCTCAATTTTATAGTGTAGTTGCATAAATTTTGGGTTACTTGAATTCTTCCGGTTCATTAGATGTGGGTTCGCATATCCTAATAGTTCTCAGAATATGCTGTTAGTTAGCTAAATGTAATATGGAGCTTGCATGTGCAGTCACAAGGAGCTATTATGGTACAATTGTCACATTGGCCAGTACTTATTGATTGAAGCAGGGTCATTATTTTGGAAACTGTCATTGGTTTTGTATTTTTCCCGTATTGGGTTGCCAAATCAACTTGCTTAATTTTTTTTTGAAAATCATCAAAGACAACAATTTTATATATGTATTAAAAAATAAGAAGGGCCAAATTTTGGGTTAATTTTGTCCTCCAGCTACAGACCTTTGGTTTCCTTCAACTCTACTGTTAACTGGATGTGCACTCCAATATTCTAATCTTAGTCCTATTAGTGGTTTAAAATTGTTTAAATTCAATTGGAGGCTTTGCATGTAGTATCATGAGCCAAGTTAAAACAAGGTTATATCGTAATTGCTATCAGCACATACTGCACATCTTGTCTGGTATCACGATTAGAGTGGAGCTCCTCGATTTTTTCAGAATCCAATTTGTTGTTTATTTCTTCCAATATTGTCTATTTTGTTGTTTGGACACAGGTTCCTGCATCTGTACGTGTGAGGAGAGAGACTGCTATTCTGAAGGTAAAACCAAAGCCATCACTCTCAACCGTGGCTGCAGCAGCTACCAGGCCAGAAGCTACTCCTGCTATTGTGAAACCAGTCTCAGTTAACTCCTCATCAGCACCGAAGGCACAGAGCATTGACGACTCATATACGGCCTTCTTGGAAGACATGAAAGCACTGGGCGCACTAGGTGATTGAACTGATTGTAGCCGATGAGAAGCTGCGAGGAAACAGGACTAGCATGCATGCATCGAGAGGAAAGAAATGTATTGGCCATTGCGATTGATCCGGGGCTTATTTGGATAAATTATTTATAGTTGTCCGTAGCCCTAATTTTCTCTCACAACATTCTTCTGTAATCTCTCCAATTCCTCCCAGTACCTCATTCATTTTACAATTGCTACAACTTTAAGCTCTCAGTTTTCTCAAATGAGTCACTGCTAGGTTTACCGGAAGGAAGAGAGGAACACTGTATGACATTGAAGTTTATAAAAAATTTCTTTCCTTCACATCTGTTTTTTTTCATATTTAACTTGGTAGACGTTTCTCAACTGATTCCAACTTTTTGTTTGAATCAAAGAGAAATTGATGCAGTATGAAAATTTGTGTTTATATTGTATGAAACCTATTATTGAGATTTATTATCCCGACAAACTAATAGGAGGAGAATCTGGGTGCTCGAAAAACTGAATTTTTTAGCAACTAAAGGACTGGATAATGCCCTATTACCACGACCCTATTACCACTTCAGGTATAATAGCATAATGCAATCTTAAATTAAAATTCTTTACAATCATATGAAACTATGAAATAGAGGCTTGCTAGTTTTTTTTTAACGTGATTTTAATAATCTAAATCAGGCCCTTTAGAAGGATACTCGTATGACTCTGTGGGACACATTTCTAATTAATGTTAATAATTGAAAATTTCAAAAATTAATAGAAAAAAAGAGTTGAAATAATAGGTTTTTTTTATTTTTTTTTTGAAAAAATAAAAAGTAAATTCCATCACGCATCATGATTTCGGAAGGTATCAAGTATCGTGTGAACACACACGCACTTTTTTTGCTCACCCCCGGACTCGAGCCCCTCCCCTTTTCTTTGAAGATGAGTAGGTTATACCATTAGGCTAAAGGCCCTTTGGTCGCATTTGTTTAATTATTGTGTGACGTGATTGATTACATCAATTATTTATTTATTCATTTACAGGATTTGTTTTGGGGTTAAGTAGGCTTCCTATTTTGACACATGAGAAATATATCATATAAATACGGAATATTCTAGATGTGAGAATTGAAAATTATATGCCACATTTGACTATTAATTATTCTAGATGTGAGAATTTAAAATTATATGCCTCATTTGACTATTAATTATTCTAGATGTCAGAATTGAAAATTAATCAAAAGTTCTAGAAGCCGCGTGGAAATTCCGTGCCCGCCTCTCTTCATCCAAAGCCATAAAAGTCTCCCAATAGATATCCTACCCGTATGTGTATTTACTTCACTGCCCTTTACAACAACAAAAAAAAATCTGAGTAATTAAATTTAAATATTTGTTTATCAATAATCGATAATTGTGTTAGACTAATCTAGTCATTACAAAATATTTTTTCAGAATTAAACTATAATTTCAAGATTGTTTGAGCTGGCATGCAGCTCATATATTTATGATGATAAAATAAAAGAATGACGTGAATTTATATCCTATCATATAATTGACATTTAAAAATATAAACCTATTAAAATCTTATCATTTGTGTAATTAAAAGATACAGTGAATAATAGTAATATTTGTGTACATTTAATAAACTATAATGAATTTACTCACCAAAAAAAAAAAAAAGCTTAATAAAAATAAAATGACAGCCAAAGGGACATGGAAGAAAGGCAGGGGTAGCATGGTCTCCACGCATGTAAAATACCCGTGCCATTTGTTGAAGGTTGACCAATTGCCAAATATATGGTTGATGGTCACCGCCACATGCTTATTTATATATATATATATATATATAGAGCCTCCAACATCAACTCTTAATTACATAGAAAGACATCATATCCAATACCTGAACGCCCCTCTCTCTCTCTCGGAGTACTACTACATCATTTTCTTTGTTGAAAATTAAGCAAACTGTGTGAAGATGGAAATAAACAGTTCTTATACATCATGGGCTGATCAGTGGGACCCCAACCCAGAAACAGTTCCTCAGGGTTCCAAGAAGAGTAGTGGCAGTAATGGCCTGACCGCCAAATATGGAAAGAAAGTTGGAGAAGGTTTTGGGAAGACAAAAGTGGTGGCTTCAAATGGCATGAAGAAGGTGAAGGAGGGCACTTCTTCGGGCTTTCAGTGGATCAAAGAGAAGTGTCATAAGACCCCCCAGAAGCACTGATCACACACACACACATATATATATATATCTTGTATATTAATCTTAGTATAATACAGAGATCTCACTCTATATGTATCTTATATAGTAATCTGTCTTTGTATTTATGCTTTTTGTAAATTTTCATAATGTGATCACTATTTGTTGATTTTGTTATATTTATTCATTTGTTCATGTAAAATATAACCTGCACTAGATTTCTATATGAGATGTATGATTGATTTTATTTTTTGTAAAAAGTTTCTGAGCATATCTTTTGTGGATGAAGCCCTAATTCTAGTTTCTTGGTCAAATATTTGAATTAAATATACTATACACAAATAGTAACTTGATTCGTGAGGTACACACAAAGTTTTTTTTGTCTAAAAATAAAAATAGATAACAAAAAATTAATATTATTAATATTTTTTAAAAAGATATAAAAATATTTGTGGCGGTTATTTTACAATAAATAATTGATCATTTCCCTATAATTGTTTGATATTTAGTGGAAGCTAAGGGATTGATAGGGATCACTGCAAACTTTTCAAAGAGGTTGATAGGGATCATACATTAATAGCACATAATATGGAATCGTAATAAAATTCCATTTAACACCACACACAATTTCCAGTTTAGTTTTCCTCTAATATCACAATTATTTGATTACTTTTGTCAAATTTCAAAAGTAACAACGACGTAAAACTTGTGTTTAGAAATTTCAAACACCCATTATCATACGTATTGGTTGAAAAATAAAACCAACATCAGATACCAACTTATGGTTATGAGTAAATGTTATATATTTTATATTCATGAAAGCATGTACATTCCAGTCATGTGATTTTTTACAAGCAAGAAACACATGCAATCATGCAATGCAATCATGCAACTCACTCACATTAGCCCTTTTTTAAGAAACTAAAAATTGTCTTAAAAAGGAAAAAAGAAAAAAAAGAAAAAGCAAAAAAAAGAAGATCGAAGAAGTTAGAAACAAAAATTTGGGTAACTTTTGTATGAAGCACCTAAATAATCAATTTTGGTGTGAAGCTCTGAGCCATCATGCATCGGGCTTGAGCACAACCTGAACCCGAGCTTGTTCGCGTGTTAGTTTGGCTAACCTGATGGATTAGGATTTTGTGTTGGTATCTAACTAATTTAACAAAGGAAAAAAATTGATAGAAAAGTTGCGTAACACCCTCACCCTAATCCATCATGTTATTGTTCACTTTTGACTTTCTGGACCAGAGATTTTCTAGGGATCAACCATCCTAATGCTACTCCAAGCTTTGAGAGGTGAAACTTATTTTTAGAAAAAAAGAACAAAAAGAAAAAAATAAAAATAAATAAAACAGAGGAAACCAGCACTCCATGGCGGTGCAACTCATCCATCTAAATCTGAAGTTTTGAGCCAGACCTATGACAATGAATAGCTTAGCCTTACGCATTCATGTGAGCAAAACTCTACCATTAGTTTCTGATGGGTAGGAGTAAGTTATTAATGGTTTTACCTTCTCTTTGACGGATACTTGAAACCTTATTTCCATCTGTTAAAGCCAATTACCATTTCAAGTCCTTACTAGTATATATGTACAATAATCTGGTCCCAAGTTTCAATTGACAGAAACTTCAAATCTGGAGTAGCAAGCAACATGTGCATTTGTTTGAGAGAAAGAGAAGTGTAGGGTGGGTGGGGGGTTTAATACATATAATGTGGGGGCAATATAGGGAGGGAAAAGGGCAAAATTGGGTTTTAAAGTTTACTTTTCGTTGAAAGTGGTCAATGGTGAGAGAGGGGTATTTGCACATTTTTAAAAAATAGGGACTGACATGCACTTTTTTAAAAAAAATAGAGGCTGACCGCGCTTACTTTTGAAAATGAATGAGTCATTGTACAAAGGATAATGTCATTCAAGTTACTTGTTAGGACATCAATGACCTTAATTGTTTTACTTTGAGAAGTAGGTCTAACAAGTGGATCACAATATCATCTCTTGTACAAAACCTATATTGTAATGGTACCCAATATCGCATTATGGAATAAAGCTTCAGTTCTGAAACTTATATGGTAGAAGAGGTAAAAACTTATAGCTAGATTGGACTCACACATACCTGCTCAAGAACAAAAGTGTAATGTCCCGAATTTTTTGGTATTTTTCTTTTATTTATTTTTCGTGCCTCATTTTGCGTGTCACGTGGGCCTTGAGGGTCGTTAGGTACATTTTCACGAGCTTGGGAGTTTTGGGAATGCATTTTTATTATTTTATACATGTTAGAATTTATGGGATTGTTTTTAGAATTTTCGGGGTTGGGACTGACTGTGTGCTCAGGAATCTTTTCTCAATTTTTCGTTAGTGCTTAATGTTGTATTTTGAATGATTTATATATATGTGTATATATGTTTATGAAGTAGATATTTTTGGGGGCATTGTGGGAATTTATATGATAAGTGAAGGGCAAATGAGTAACTTTAGCAAAAAGGTGGATTGCACCACATGGTGACACTTGACACAAAGAGGATCACAAGACCAAATTGAATTTGGCAAACCACTCTTCCTTCTTCCCTATTTCGGCCAAATCACCCCTTCTCTTTAGTTTTCTTCTTTCTCTCTCTATATCTATATACGCACACATATAACTTCATGCTTCGAACCCATTTTTGGGAACCTTAGAGGGAGATTTGAGAGATGACCAGAAAGGCAACTTTGATATACACCTCAAGAGCTTTCATTTGAGACCAACATTGGAGCCATTTGGGGGAGATTTGAATTTGACCTGGCTTAAGGGCTTGTTTAGCTTGCTTCATTGAGGTAGGGATGTTTAATATATTGTACTTTGCCTTTTGTTCAGTTATTCTTCTTGATTTCTCTACTAAGCATGCTTATACGTGAAGAACTTGAAGTAGAATGTTACTTGTGTTGTGTTAGATGAAATAAAACCATGTTTTAGTATAGTAATTGTGTTAGTATGTGCAAAACGGTCTTATTAGTGAATACCCAGTTGACGTGGAGAACTTGTATAGACGCTAGCATGATAATTTACTTGATTATAAGTCTTAAGTATGCTATAATAATTGATTTTGATATATCTTACAAATCCCTATTGAATGCATAATTGAATACCATGCTTATACATATGTGTGATG